TAATATAAACTCTATTAATGATAATATAACTTCTACAAATGCTAAAAATGCTAATATGGATACTACTGATGCTAATATGAACTCTAATGATGCTAATATAAACTCAATTAATGATAATATAACATCTACAAATGCTAAAATTACTAATATAAACTCAATTAATGATAATATAACCTCTACAAATGCTAAAATGACTAATATAAACTCTATTAATGATAATATAACCTCTACAAATGCTAAAAAGGCTAATATGGATACTACTGATGCTAATATGAACTCTACTAATGTTTAAATGGCTAATACAAACTCCACTAATGCTAGTTTTGGGTAAAAGCTAACACCCATTTGTTACTTTTAACTTTTATCAAGCCTGTTGATATTTTACTTTTTTAGCAATTTGCTCCTTTTATGTCTTGATAGCATTTCAGTTCTTTCAGCTTGTGTTTTGCTTTCTTTAGCTAGCTTTTTCTACTTTCATGTTGTAGTGTTTATTTACTTTTATCAATTATTTGACTACTTTTGATTTTTATGTAGCGTTCTCCTACTTTTAGCTGATTATTTGCTCTTTTTAGCCTTTAGCTGACTTTTTGCTACATTTTACTGCTCAGCTTCAGCTTCCTTTGCTGAAGAAGGGCCATCAACTGATGCGAGACGATCTCTTCAGGATTGCCTGCCTGAGAGCAGAACTCTTGGCGAGTCGTCTAGGTCCTGGATCAGCAGGACAGACCCAGACCATCACACTACCACCTCCATGTTGGACCGTTGGGAGGATGTTTTTTGAAATACAGACCCAGAAGCCTGTACATTTCCCCAGAAGGGTGTATCCAGATGTTTTTAGGTAGGCGAGATGGGCCTTTGTGTTCTTTTTGCTCAGTGGTCATTTGGGTTTTGGAACTCTCCCATGGAGGCCGTTTTGTCTTCATGTTGAATTGTGACCTTTGACCCGAGGTAGGTGGGGCCTGTCCTGGGTTCTTCTGAGACCTGCTACGTGTTGAGTCATTGATGAGCTCTTGGTGATCCACATTCTCTCAGTTTGTGGATAATGGCTCTCTCAGTCATGTCTTTGTTCTGCACGTCTGGGTCTGGAGGGTCAAACTGAACTCAGACCAGAACACTCAGGGTTAATTATTTATTGATCATGGAGCTGGACCGTTTTGGTGTGAATAGTTTTTTCTACATGTAGGGGGTGAATACTTGTGCGCAGCACTGCGTGTCTGGTGGACTTGGTCCTCTGTCTCCGGACTGTGTCACGCTCGGCGGTTCTTCTTCGTGGATCTTCCATTTTCAGATCAGTTCTCGTTTTTATTGGAGAGCAGCTTCAGAAACTGAAACAGATGAAGATAAAACTAACAGCTGTGTCTCCAAATAAACCCGGCCCGTGTTTGTTCTGAGGTCCTGCAGAGTTCTGCCGAACCACGACCCGTCCGTTTGTTTTCTCTCACAACAAATAAACGGACAGATTTCCTCTGCGTCTGCGCTGCTTTCTCAGGAGGATCTTTTACGGTCCGAAGCCTCCCAGCCTCCATCAGATAACCAACATCTACTCATTCACAAGATTCTGATGTGGTCCGGTCCCACAGGGACGGAGAACCGGATCCAGTTAAGATGATCCTTCTCACTTCTCTGCCGTTGTGTTTTATTTACACGTCTGGCTAAAAGAATCCTCAAACACAGGAAAGGCTTGTGACTGAGAGCTCCTCGCTCTAATGTGGAGAAGTTTATTTGTTTCAGACAAACGTTCCTGGTGGACCCAGATTTTCAGCCGGGTCTATATTTGGACCCGATCGTTCTGTTTGTAACGATGCTGTCAGCACGGTGTGCTGATCTCATGCAGGTGTCGTTTGGACCCTCGTTTGGGGTTTTAATTTGGACAAATTTGACTGAAACTCAAAAATAAGGTTAGCTTGTGTCGCATCATGACCCAGTTTGGTCCAAGCTTCAGCTGTTGGACAGATGAACCCACATCTGACCCCAGAACCCTTTGGTCTACAGAGGAGTATCTGGTCCACTCAGTGACTGACAGGAGCCCAAACCATCACCTCTCCACCACCGTGCTGACAGCTGGGAGAAGCTGTTTGCTGCAGTGCATTCTGGGTGAACATCTGTCCTTTGGTCTGGTTCTGGTCCAGAAGTCTTGCGGTTCCTTCAGATGAAAGTTGTGCTGCCGTGTTGTTTTTAGAGAGAAGCGATTATAACCTTTGACCTGCTGACTGAGGCCCGTAGAGTCGTTGCACGGTCTGACCTTCAGGGTGAATCAGCTGTTTAAATGTTTCCACATGTGAATAATCTTTCTCTAAATGACCTTTGACCCTTTGCTGATTGAGGGGCGGCAGCAGCTGCTTCTCTGAGGTCATTGCTGTTGTCGTTCCATCCTGGCGTTGTATTGACACACACGTAGATGCTCCAGTGCAGCAGAGCCTGCAGATGAGGATCAGTTGATTAGCAGCTCCTGTTCCTTGACCTCTGAGATCCTGTGGAAGCAGCAGAACCAGAACCAGATTTTTTTCTCCGGTTCTGTGTTTCTGTTCAGATCAGTGGACCAAGTCCAGCTGCTCTTCACGGACTCTGCAGGATCTTTTCACATCCTGGTTTTACAAGAAGTGTGTTTTTCTGGAAATAAAGCCTGATGTTCTGACCCGATTCAGATTCAGACCCGAGATCTGTTTATTTTGATTGGAGGCAGCCGAGAAATTTAATTCAATTCAAACCAACAAAGTCCATGCTCAATAATCCAGGTATACAATCAAACAATCTTCAGTCAGGTCATCTGGACAGTTTCTTTTTGTGCTGAAATGTTTCACCTTCCATCCAGAAGGCTTCATCAAGCCTTCTGGATGGAAGGTGAAACGTTTCAGCACAAAAAAAAAAAAAAGTAAAAGAAACTGTCCAGATGACCTGACGGAAAATTGTTGGATTTAATTCAATTCAGTTTATTTCTACAGCTCCACGTCCCAGCAGAAGTTGTCTCAGTGCACAAAATCGTTCACATTCATTATAAAAACCAATAAGTAAAAATTATCTGTCGGAAGCAGCAGATTGAGTTGAAGCTTCACTTCGTCACAGTCTCCCATCCTGAGCGAGCACAAAGGAGACAGTGGAAAGGAAAAACTCCCTTTTAACAGGAAGAAACCTCCAGCAGAACCAGGCTCAGGACAAGCGGCCATCTGCTTCAACCGTCTGGGTTTGAGCGAACAGGAAGTAAACAAACAAACAAACACAGAATGGCACCAGGGGAACAGGTCAGGTGATTTAAAAAAAAAAAAAACAGGAACATTTGAGTAAAGTTAAAATAAACTTTAATCTTTTACAGAAACGGAAGAGTCAGGTGTTTTTATTTACTGAGTTTGTTCAACTGATTTTTATCATTATATAATCAAATTTGAATGTTTGAACTTTAAATATTAAAGTGTTGAAAAGGCAGCCTGATCCAGGATCAGTGGGAGTCATTTTTTTTAATATGAAATAAATAAAAGTAACTTTGGCTTTGGGGCTCTTCAGGGCCAAAGTCCACCTCAGTGAAATTAAACAACCGGACCTCGTTTTATTCAAACGAGCTGGAACAAAATCTAGATTCAAAACTTTAATTTATTATTTTAATAATTTGGTTCAGGAAAAATAACAAAGGAGAGGGAATCCTTCAGACACATCTGTTTATTTGTTTTAAAGCTCCTGCTTCAACTTGCCATGTTTCCTGTTTGTTGTTGTTGTTTTCCCCCAGTAAACAATGCCAACACTTTATTTATAAACTGAATTTATTTACATCCAGCGGAACTCTTTCATCTCCAAAGGTTTCGGTTACATCAAAGAGCAAAGCCGTGTCTTTCATGTTTGTTTTATTACAGAACAATAAAAAATTAATGATTATTAAAATCTGTCTTCATGAGCCAAGACAAAAACTGCAGTTCATTCGTCTTCAGAATGTCTTCTGCGCATGCGTAAAGATGAATTTCCCGCCTCCCTGTGGGTCCGAGCTCCGGTCGGAACTTCACTGATGAAGATGAAGATGATGAAGGAGCTGGACTTACTGATTTGGAGACATCTGAGCAGTTCTTGGACTTGGACGTGTCTGTGCGTAAAACTCCGGAAACGTTGGGTTCAGTGAAACTGCAGCGCGCGCTCGGGGCAGGTGAGGGTCAGGTAGGAGCAGAAGGGCAGTCCGAACCGGTACCAGTGATGCTGAGGAGCCCCCAGGAGCCCGGCGGGGCTGAGCGGCTGCGCAGACAGGTCCGCTCTGCGGCTGCGCGGCTCCTCCGGGCTCCTGGATAAGATGCTCTCGATGGTGAAGCCTTTGGACTTCTGAGTTCTCGGAACATCCGGTCCATTTGTCCTCGGAACACTTGTTGAGCGGATCCAGTCCTCCTGCTCCATCCACAGCGGACCGGAACGCGGCTCGTTCTGCGGGTCTTCCTTGGACTCAGTGGGGTCCAGGTTCAGGAGGACTCTCTGCAGGGGGGCAGCTTGTTTCATGTCGAGAAGAACCGGTGTGGGTTCTGGTTGGGGGTCCTCTCGGGGCCCCTGCGCGCTCCTGGAGGTCAGTTCCCCTGCGGGTCCCGGAGCCCTGACCCGCTTGAGTCCAGGGTGTCTGGAGTCCAGAACCTGCTGGGTCTTGGCTTTCCTCTTCCTGCGGCGGTAGTTCCCGTTCTCGAACATGTCCAGGCAGCCGGAGTCCAGGGTCCAGTAGCTGCCCTTCCCGGGCCGGTTCTTCTCGCGCGGCTCCTTGATGAAGCAGTCGTTCAGGGACAGGTTGTGCCGGATCGAGTTCTGCCAGCCCTGCTTGTTGTCCAGGTAGAAGGGGAACCGGTCCATGATGAACTGGTAGATCCCGCTGAGGGTCGCGCGCTGCCCGGGCGCGCTCCTGATGGCCATGGCGATCAGCGCGATGTAGCTGAAGGGGGGCTTCTGGGGGGGCTCCTGGTGCGCCGGCACCAAACCGTCCGGTCCGTACAGGTACACCAGACCCGGGGCGGGCCCTCCGAACCGGCCGTACAGAGCCATGACTCCTGAGGAGCTGCAGAGACCCGGACCCAGATCAGCTCGTGTCCCTGACGGACTGACCCCCCTCCTCCCCCACAGCCTCACGAGACCCAGAAGAAGTTAATAATTGTTGTTGGTTCTGGTGGAATAAATTGTCCATCATAAACAGTGGGCCGGGTGAGCCCACCCACATTAATCCCCCCCCCCCCCCCGCGCGGCCAACAGCCAATCAGCTGCCGCCTCCTGACCTCAGCTGTTTACAGAATTAAGGTTCTGATAAGTCTGACCACCCAGACTGGATCAAGCTGTGTTTATTTGGAAAAAGATCCGGGCGCCAAAAACATAAACTGACTGATCACACACGCACACGCACACGCACACACACACACACACACACACACGCTTGTCTTACTATCTTTACGGGGACTTTGCCTTGACTTCCATTCATTTTTCATTCATTGGTAACCCTGAACCCACCAACGGCTCTTGACCCTTATGGGGACCAGGTTTTGGTCCCCACAAAGAGCAGCTGGTCCTCACAGTGTAGTACAGGGGTCTGCAACCTTTTAAATCAAAAGAGCCATTTCTACCTTTCACTTACTGAACAAAATGCGTCTGAGCCGCAAAACCGTCGTTATCAACTGGTGGCTCATGGGCCTCTTCAAATTTGTATGATAGGTTTTTTGTTTTGTTTTTTCAGCCAGTGGGGATGACTTTATAACACAAAAATGATATAAAGAATTTTATCATGTATTTATATTTTTACATAAACAATAAAGAAAAAAAAACACATTCATGTAAACAAGGGAGAAAAAGATGTTTCAAAATTTACCTAAACTAATTTAACCCTGAACTCTGCAGGTTTATGTGAGTCTCCCTTTTAATTTTAGAAAAATAAAAATAATTATGTACCTCACTTTAAAGTAAGAAAACATGAATCTAAAGTGTGTCTAAATAATATTTGTTGGATAGTAACTGACATTAAAATTAGAATTTAAAAACAAATGTATTTACTTTAACTTTAATTGTATCTATCTATCTATCTATCTATCTATCTATCTATCTATCACATATTTCTTCAAATAATTTTTGGTGGATTTCAAAGAAAGGTCCTATAAGGCTGGAAGTTGGATAAATGAAGTAGCTAAAGCTAATCAACATTATTTTCTCCTTGTTTTACTAATTTATTTAAAATGTTTGCAGAAAAACTGCTAAAACTTGCCATTTCTCTTTACTGTGGGTATAAAAACCAACAAATGTACATCTTGCATGATGTTTGGTCAGGAGCTGCAGACCAAGGACCAAAGAGCTGCATGTGGCCCCAGCGCCGCAGGTTTCAGACCCCTGGTGTGTGTTCAGAAATGGTCCTCACAGAGTAACATAAACAAGCACACACATTGTTGTCTCAAACCAGAGCATTAAAGGGAACGACCCTCCAGCTGGTTCTGACTGAAAATATCTCTAACCTTCAGGAAAATCCTCCACACCTTTATTTAATGTATTAGTTTATTCTGGTAACTTGGACTGAAGCGGGCTAACCTGGGACAGGTGCGTGCCCCGCCTCTCGCTGCACATGCATGCAGGCTGCAGAACCAGACGCTGCAGCGGCTCGGCGATGTGTTTGGGTCGGTCAAAGCAAAAAACGTTTGGAAATGTTTAATTTTAATGTAAAAGAGAAAACGAGAAAACTCCTCGGGACCGCCAAGCCACGTATGATTGAAAACTTTGGCTGCATGTTCTGAAGGGTCTTCAGAACTTCCATCTTGAACTGTCAGACCCCTTCAGGGTACTGTTAGGGGGCGTTTAAAAAAAAGTCATGAAATAAATAAATTGATTTGAAAAATACAACTGAAATGTGTTATTTTCAACAGAAGGCCCTTAAAGAGTTCAAATGAAACATTTAAATGTGATTTTTTTTTACTGACTCTAAAATATTATATCTTTAAAACGTTGAAATGTTGCAACCGCTCTGAAAGAACGTTTTAATTCGGACTGAATCCATAAAAGTGACTCAGTTTCTTAAGAACTTTAAGTCGTGCGAGGCACTAACGGACTTCCATACAGATTCAAAATGAAGAGATTTTATTCAGTGAAAGCGGGTTTGGGTCAGAACTCGGGGCAGCAGAACTGGATCTCCTTACAAGGAGAACCTCCGAGTGTTTTCTTTCTCCGTGTTTCTGTTTTCCTGTTTATGGACCCGACCAGAACTAGAACAACTGTCCAAGTGCTCCCAGCTGGACTCTGCTTACATTACAGACGTTCAGAACTTTTTGGGATAAACTCAGAACTTTTCTGTTTGTCTCTGACAGACTCACAGCGATCCATTACCGCGTGCACGTCACGCTCACACGTCTGGACTGGAAACTCACTGAGCAGAGGTCAAAGGTCAAACAACAGGAAGCGTCGTGCGAACAGCTGAAGGAATCTGACTTTTCATTAATAATAATAATAAATTTTATTTGAAGGCGCCTTTCAAATCACTCAAGGTCACCGAACAAGAAATATGAAGTTAACAATAAAAGGCAGATATACATATATCTATTTTTTTAATTTAAACCTTTATTTTACCAGAAAAAAAATCCATTGAAATGATTAATCTCTTTTACAAGGATGTCCTGAGCAATATACAAATAGAGCAACACAGTCTTAAAGTCTTAGATATCAATAAAGTCAAACATAATTAATGGTAGAAAACATAATGACATTAAACAGAATAAGTTTGAAAAAGTGAGTTTTAAGGTTAGATTTAAATGAGGGCGGAGAACCAGAATTATGGATGTGCTGTGGAAGAGAGTTCTAGAGACGAGCAGTGGTGGGATGTAATCAGGTACAAGTACTTTGTTACTGTACTTAAGTACATTTTCCATGCATCTGTACTTTACTTAAGTAGTTAAACGTGGGTACTTTCGACTTTTATTCCACTCCCATTTTACATTATCTGTACTTTCTACTCCACTACATTTCTATAATGCGTTGTGTTTTATTGATTTGTTCGTTAGTTTGAACGTAACCAGTGGCGAGAGGAGAGTTGGTCCACTGAATCACTGCGAAGTGGACAGGTAACGTAAGGCCCACCTTCAAGAAGAGCTGGGACAATGACGTATATTCTAGTATACACGTCATTGAGGTGGGCGCACCCACAGCACCTCAACACACCCAACATGGATTCCACCGCAAGAGAGTCAGCCAGAAGGTACGCTCCACCCACGACCTTATTGAAAGATTATTGAAAGATTATTGAAAGGCTCAGTACAGCAGGACAGATTCTCTCTCCCAAAAGATTCAGACTGGACTGAAAAAACTTTGAAAACCAACTTCTTCTGAACTTGAGCAAGAAATTCTTGCTGCAATGTTAAAATGTGTCAGTTCATGATGTTGGGAGACGAGAGATGTCTCCAAATGTCTCGACACTCAGGTCCAAGTTTTAAAAATGGTGTCAGGAAGTTAAAATATTGTTCAATATTGACCCATTACAAGGTCGACTAGACAGTATTTTAACTAGTTGATGACAAACTGGAGATGAAATGATTAGTATTCCTTTGTTAGTTGTGTCTAATGCTCCTTTTTAAAAACAGACTTTTACTTAAATGTGTTTACTGCAGTTAAAATGACACATTGGTTTTGCTTTGTGTTAAATAAAAACTTTCTAAGGTATAATCGTTCCTGTTTCTTATTTTGCTTAATGATATTTAACTCTGCACATCATCCCTGAAATTCTGATGCACAGAACCACAAGTCCAAGTTGAACAGTGTCACAGAGTAAACACAATAAAAACATGTATTATCTGCAGCATCGTTCCTTAAAATGGCTCAACACTATTAATGTATTACAGAAAATATACATACAGGCACACTTAATGATGTTGTAGACCATTATTCAGCAAGTACTTTTACTTACTTTAAGTATTTTCACAGAGGCAGCCCGAAAGGAAGGATGGTGGAAGGGTGGTGTCGGGCTTGGTGGAGAAGTAGAGCTGTGTGTCGTCCACATAGCAGTGAAAATTAATAACAAATTTACTAAAAATAATAAAAATCATTTTCAATTTAAACTTAATGTTTTTTAAACCAGAGCCTGGAAACTTGGCGGACGAAACGAGCAGAACCCAACACAGACTGAGGCGATTTAAAATCCTGCAAAATGATCTTTTAAATAAAGAGTAACGCTGGAACTTTGATTTAAAACCAGCCCGGTTCTGATCCAAACAAGTGAAAAAATAAATAAATTTGTAACGTGTGAATGGTTTTATTGTTGTTAAACATTCACACTGTTGTCATCCTGTTTATACTATCCCTATCTGTATATGTTTTAGCATCTTTCTGCCTTTTTAGCTACTATTCAGCTGCTTTTTGCACATTTCTGTATTTTCCCAGATAATTTCCACTTTTTTGTGTTTGTTTCAGCTTCTTTCAGTCTAACTGGCCAAAACATACTCTCTCCACTTTCTTCTGGTAATTTCAGCTTCTTTCTATTTTAGCTACTGTTTAGACGTTTTTTTTATTTCTGCTTTTTTCAGATAATTTTCACTTTTTTGTGCTCATTTCGGCTTAAACCCAGTTCAGCAAATGTGTTCTGCTTTCTTCTGCTAACTTCAGCTTGTTCTTCCATTTCAACTACATTTCAGCATGTTTAGCTAATTTCTAGTTATTTTTATTTAAAGGGTTTGAACCGAAATGTGTCGATATTTAGAGTTTATTTTATATTTAAAATACAAATAAAAACCCGTCCTCAACAGAACCTCTTTAGTGTGAAAGCAGAACCAAAGAGGTTCTGGTTCCTCTGCAGAGGAACTTCTTGATTCCCCCAGAAATCAAGAATATTCACATTTATTCGAGTGAAGGAGTTTCAGCTGATTATTCTCAGAACTCATCGGTTTAATTATCGGACCTCGGGTTTATTTGGTCTCACATCTGGAGATCAAGTTGCAGCAAAAATAAATAAATCAACGAGTCCACCTTTCACCAAACTAAAACCGGTTCTGATGTTAGAGGTTCTGTTGGAAGCGTTTGGGTCTTTGGCCCGTTTAGTTTCTGCAGCAGAAATCGGATCCTGGATCAAAGGTTTCGTTTCGGCGCCACCTTCTGGACCGACGGAGAACTTCAGCTTTATGTTTTCACTCGTTGGAATCTGTTTCAGCTCGCAGCTGAAGTTTGCAGAGCTGAAGAGTTCAACCAAAAGGTTCTTTAAAAACAAGGAGGAAAGTCCAGTTGCCTCAAAACCATTTGTCGGAACCGCCGGGCTTTTACACAGCAGCTGAAATCAGCCAAATGCTTGATTAAAAAAAAAAGACATGTTCTGACCAAACTTTAGCTGTCGGGTCCAGTCTTTAGCGGTCTGGTCCAGTCTTTAGCTGTC